AGGAACTGTCAGCGGGGGACGTCCGCGTAAACTCCGCGCCGTTCCGCGGCTCAGGGGGAGCGGCGCTATTGCTAAGGTCTTCTCCCAAACCGAGCTTGGAGTAAAGCGCGCTGCCTCGCAGGGTTTACTCCAGGGCTCTAAATCTGCCTGGATTTAGTTCCTCGAGAGCGCAGAGGAAATCCTTTCCAGTTAAAAAAAAAAGGCGCCGATCGGGCTAGAGGTCTCAAGTAAAGGAGGGCAGAGTAACGGCTTGAATCCCCGAACGTTTCTCTCATCCCTCCCGGTCCGCGCAACGACGGATTACTGCGCATTTATTTAATCCGGAGCAAGTAGTTTTGGGAATCTGGTCCAGATTTCGCTCCCCCCCTCCTTGCTGCCTCCCCACCGGAGAGTCCCGGACTTGCGGAGCGGCCTGTCTCCAGCCATCTCCCTCCCTTCCTCAATCAATCCCAGGCGCGCGCAACTTGCGCGGAGAACCGGAGCAACAGGCCGAAGGGAGGGCGGCCGGGTGAGCGCTCCTACCCCGCTTGAGACGCGCGCTCGCTCCCCCGCGCTGGATTTCGTTGCGCGGCAGCGCCGCCGCTGGCCGGCAGAGGAATCACCGCGGGAGGGGGGAAGCCCGGGTGTTCAAAAAGCGCTCTGCTTTTGGGGAGGGAACTTTTTTTACCCCGTTCAAATAGGACCCCCCAACCCCTTTGTGCATGAGGGGGTACCTGAGCCAGCCGCCCCTTTTGCCCTGGGCGACCCCGGAGAGGGTTTCCCTGGCGAGCTAAGCCCTCGCTGTGAATGTGGGTGGGTGAGATTAAATGCCCACTGAATATTAAAATGTGCAGGAACTGCCTGGCAAAAACTTTCAACTGCACTTTTGCTTGCAGAAATAAATGCCCCCCCTCCCTGGAGAGCTAGTTTTCGGGGCTGAAATGCCCGAGGCGTCCCCTGATAAGAGGGGGCAAAAATAAAGCACCAGGCGCATTAATTCTGTGCAAGCCCCCCCCCCCAAACCACTGCATGCTTGGGAAGGAATGGCTTTCACAAGGAAATCTGGATGGAGCAGCCGCATTCCAGAGTGGCTTTCCCCGTCTCACCTTGGTGCAATGGCGTGGGGGTGTGCGTGCATGCGTGCATGCACGCCAAAGAGCGAGGGCGACCGTGCATGTATTTTATGTATATGAGTTTGCATCAGTTCAGCTTAACCTGTACACTTAAGACACATTTGATATCCATGGCTGTTTTGCAGCCGGCCGACTTCCTTCTCTCTCTCTCTCTCTCAATTCTCTCCTCCTGGCCTTCCTTCCTCCACCCTTTTTTTTTTATTTGAAGGTAAACTATCCAAAAATACATGGAAGTGGATTAATCTTCCCACTCCCAAGCCCCACCAAGACTCGGAAAAGCAACTTACCTGACATCTTTGCAGGAGAAGGGAGATGGACAAATTTTTAAACAAAACAAAACAAAAAGCCAAATAAAAAAACAAATAAAACAAAACCACAGCAGACCAAAAAAAAGAGAAAAAGCTTGGCTTCCTACTGCCAGAGGGAAGCCTAGAAGAAAACTGGATTTTTTGCAATTAAAAAATCATTTCAAATCTTTTCTGGAGGTCCCGAGTGGGAGACGATGAATATTAAAGTTTGATACCTACAGATATAAGTTTGAATTTTTCTCTCCACAACCCAAGTATTTAAAACCTCTAGAAACCAATGATTTGACAATCAATGATTGCGCGATAGTTACAATTTGAATATTCAAAGGCTCCACAAAATGGACTAAGTTGCAGTGAAACTCAGCATCTTCCCATCTAGCCAAGGGTCTTAGGGAATAGAATTTGTGGCCAGAGGCCCCCAGAGTTCCCGTCCTGGGCGATTTTTTGGACTTTTTAGTTTTCGGGCTCCAAACGAGCCCAAGCCCTCGAAAGATGCTCCAGATTTTCGCTGGAGAGGAAGACCAACAATCTTCTGAGGCCCCCCATTCTCCTCTAGGCTGCGGGGGGCAGCCCTGTAACCGACTGGTGAGGTTTGGGGGGGTCACAGGCCACTTTTGTGGACCACAGAAGAGATCTGTGGGGGGGACAGCATGGCCTTTGGAGGGCGTAGCCTAAGCAGGAAAGATGGTTGAGGCCTGTGAGGGAAGATCTGAGTTAACAGTGGGTTGCAATTTTACTTTCCCTGAAAACGTCTGATTTCCACTTCCCGGTTCCATCCCACCCCCCTCTCCCTTTTTATTCCACTTCCTTAATCCAGTTGTTCTGGGAATTGAATGCAGAAACGTGTGGGGATTTCTCTGTCTTTTCAGTGGCACGAAATGGAAAGAGGAAGATTTTCACCTGGAGACGACATTTCTTGAATTGTACACAAGATTTTTCACACTTTTTTTTTTCCTCTGCCACGACCCTCCCTCCCAAATTATGGAAGCTGCCAGGGACAGGTGAGTCAACCCGAACATAGGCTGTACAGTTAATCATCTACTACGAATATAATTTGGCTATTGTTCCAGTGTATTTTATATATATTTTTTTAAAAAATGAAAGTTCAACAAATATCCTTGGTTTGAGTTAAGGAGTGGTTTCTTGAGCTGAGATCAGAAATACTCTTCCCCCCCCCTCCCCGCTAGGAACTTTTGATCACTTCATCGTTTCCTTTGGGCAGGCAAATATAGTATTTTCTTTCTTTATTTCTTTCTTTCTTTCTTTCTTTCTTTCTTTCTTTCTTTCTTTCTTTCTTTCTTTCTTTCTTTGACAAATCTTCTAAAAAGGATTTAGGGGGGTCGGAGATTAAACGGTTCTTTAGAGACACACAAAAAGCCCGGGTTGTCTGTCCAAAACGTGTTCCCCCCTCTTCCGCTCACCCCTTGGGTTTCACCAAACTCACAGATGTAAACACGATAGACGTGTTGAAGGTGGCCCCTTGAATCCGTCAACCTGACCATTTCCTGTCGGTGTCCTGAGAAATAAATTACGACTGAGCTGTTCACAAATACATGGATGGGTTGACTGCTGGCACCACTTCATACTTCCTGAGCCCTGTCTTTTATGGCACCGATTTTCACGCTTAATTCTGGTTTTTGAACCCATCTTGCTAACTGATCAGTAGGAAACCAGATGTACTTTTTAAGCTGGCTTTAATGAAACTAACAGTTTGTGCCGGAACTGTTTGCCACTTTTCCCTGGATGGGTTTGCAGAGCCTTAAGATTCTTCTTTCTCCACTTCAGGGACTGATATGGACTTACTGTTCAAAACATGGAGTATGCACTTTTCTAATCCTCACAGGACTCGGGATGGTATTATATGGAATTCCTTGGCGGGCGTCGCCTCCTGGTGTTTCCCAGGCTAGATCCTGTTTGTGCTTTGGTGCGATGGCTCAACCCCAATCCTTCACCTCATGCCTGTATTTGTTTTTGTGTGCATAGGTTTTATTTATAGCCTACCTTTCTTTCTGTGGGAGCAAGTCAACCTATCTGGCTCGCCTCTTTTCTATTTTTATGACAGCCCTGTGAGGTAGGACAGGTTGAGGAAGAATGACTGGCCCCAGATCTCCCAGGAAATTTCATGGCAAAGGGAAGATTAAGGCCTATTGAGCCTTAATTGAAGTTCCACTTTTTGGAACAGCTGTGTAATATCTACTGGTTGGTTGGTTGGTTGGTTGGCTGGCTGGCTGGCTGGCTGG